ATATATATATATATATATATATATATATATATATATATATATATATAGTCATATGTTTATATTACTATTTTTTATGCATTTATTCATGTTTTTAAGGCTGGACTTTTAAAAATGAAATTGTCTAGAGGTGTTTTAAACGAAATTTCTTTTTGTTGACACAAATTGACAAAATAAATCTTCCTAAGTCTGAGATAATCTGCATGCTCGACTTGGTTGAGTTTCAAATGACTGATGCAAAAAAGTTTGACCCACATATGTTGTAACTTTACACTTTAAAGTTATGTTAAGTAAACATGCAGACAAAACACAGCAGAAGCAATGCGAGCGGGAACAGCGTGTTACTAAATATCACCAGCTGCAGAAACGTGGCAATTAGACCGAGGAGTCCAAACAAAAACAGCAGCGAGATGCACCACATTGGGACTGTTTGCTGCGCGCTGGGTCTGCATGGAAAACTTACGATCGACTCCGAAGAACAGCCCCGGAAAACCAAACAAAAAACACTCGATGCGAGGACAAAAAAGGGGAGTTAAAAATAAAAAGTTGAGAGCGGAGGGATCCTGAGGGGGAAAAATGGCCGAATATTTTCCCAAAAGAAGCAGCAGAGAGCAGGCGCAGCGTGGGCTGAGGAGCGCAGCTGTCAGATAGGACTGCCTGCAGCGGGACAGCGGCTGATTTCCTGCCCAGGGGCGGAGCTAGATGGGGGGCCAGGGGTGGCCGTGCCCACCCTTAGCCAATCATTCGCCACCCCTGTGGCCGCCCCTTTTTCTTCTTCTTCTTCTTCTTGTGAGGTTTTATGGCGGTTTGCAAACTAGTGTAAAGTTACCACCACCAACTGATAAGGAGTAAAGCAAGGAAACAGGAAACGAATCACGACAGAAAAAAAAAAAGTTTAGCTTAACCCAACATAATAAATACTTAATCATATATGCCATCATAATTTTTAATTTATCTTTAAGTTATCATCACTCTGCCAGTTTCTGATGGTCCTATTGGTTTTCCCATCATGCTTTCCACCATTTCCCAGTTTAAATCTCTCACTTCAAGATATTTTTCTACAGCGTTCACTATTATTTTGATTTTTTTTGGTTTTTCTTGTCGTCTGTGCACTACAATTAATCACTTCAACCATGAAAAGGACAAAATCTTTCTTTTTAACAATCAGTGAGTCTTCAATGTTGAGAAGCTGTGCCAGAGATTTTGAGTTTGCCATGTGCTGAATGGTTGTTTTGGGCCTTCTTTTTCTTGTGAGGTTTTATGACAGTTGGCAAACTAGTTAAAAGTCCATTACTGCCACCAACTAGTAAGGAGCCAAGCAACGAAACAGGAAACAAGAAAGAAAAAAAAAAAAGAAAAAAATAATAGTAATTTCCAAACTGATTAGCTTAACCCAATTTAATAAATACTTAGTCATATTTGCCCTCACAATTTCTAATTTATCTTGAAGTTATTGTCACTCTGCCAGTTTTTGATGGTCCCATTGGTTTTTCCATCATGCTTTCAACCATTTCCCAGTTTAAATCTCTCACTTTAAGATACTTTTCCGCAGCTTTCACTATTATTTTTATTTTTTAGTTTTTTCTTGTCGTCTGAGCACTACAATTGATCACTTCTACCATGAAAACAACAAAATCTTTCTTTTTTTTTTTTTTTACAATCAATGAATCTTCTGCCATTTTGGGACGCTACTCCAGAGGTTTTGAATTTGCCCTGTGCTGAACTGTTGGTTTGGGTTTTTCTGACTGGGATGGGATCCTTTTTGCAGCTTCAGCATATGTTATGCCAAGCTCAAATTTCACTTTTCTTATTTCCTCAGACCTTTTGCTTACTTCACATCCGTGATATGCAGCAATGGCCACCCTTACCATTTTCTCCCCCTCTAATACAGAAGTTGGCAGAAGTAATACTCTCAAGAGGAATATTTAAAACATTTAACAAAGCACAAAAAAAACCCAACAAAAACACTGTGGTTTATTATGCACATCAATATACTAAAATCAAATATGATAAGTACAGAATTCATAATTTTTATAATTTTATTTACTATTTCATATATGTTTCATGTTGCACGACTGTACCACAAAAATTTCCTAGTTGTGAACCTCTTCACTAACAATGGCAATAAACCCGATTCTGATTCTGATTCTGATTCATGCTTTTTTCAGAACTAAATTTTGTGTTTTATGAGGTAAAGCGAAAATTATGTATCTCTGCAAGTCATCTAAGAGTCTTCAGTAAAATAACTGATAAATAGCTATTTTAATAAAATGTATTAAATAATCAATTTATGTAAATATTAATACTTGTAAATATCAATTATATGCTGAATGATTATTGATAAAAGTAGGTACGTAGTGACAATGGAAAAGATGTTCGCCAAAAACTCAAACCTCAAAGAATTGTATCCACTATACCTTTTATCTAGAAAGCACAGATGTTTAAATATTTATGTGTCTATTTTTCGGCAAAGGTTGTAGAAAAGTATAGTTAGTCTTTCTTTACAAAATATGGATGTTGTGCCCTTTAATCATATCAACTATCAACTTTCGGCCACCCCTCAGTTTACATTGTTTATTGCCTGGCCACCCTTATAAAAAAATTCTGGCTACGTCTCTGTTCCTGCCTTCAGCTCCCTCCTTCCTCTCCCTGTGGTTCAGATCAGCCCACTGTGCTGCTCAACTCACTTCTACTGTTTTTTTCACATGTAAAGAGAGGGCTGGCACTGAAAAGGCTACACGTCAGCTGCTTTCCTTGCGATATTATATCAGATGCACAGCAGCTTAGTCTTAGAAATAACGATAATCTGAATTTTACTCACTATTATTAATTATTGGGTGTCTGTCATGTCAAAAATGCTGTTTTTTATCACAAAAATGGTCATAAATAATGAAACACTGATCATTTAAAAAAAATAACTAAATCAATAATAAAAAAAAAAGGTAATAGAAACTACTAGTTTTTAATTTTGGAAGCTTTTTATCTTGTTTGATTTGAAAATATATATTTTAGTAAGCCTACATATGAGGGTAACAGCTGTTTGTGATATCCCTTAAGGGCCAGAGACCTAATGTAGCAGAAGTACACCATAGCAAATCACATTACACTGTGTATGAGCAGTCAAGTGTCCTACTATAATCCCCTATTTTGAAATTAAACACCCTTTTAGACACCCATGTTTGTAATTCTTGTTGATTTTCTGTACATTTCTGGCATTAAAATGTGCTGCAAAAGTTCTTCATATGCAGAAGATGCTGATGATTCAACTGAATAGGAAAAGAAAAAGTTTCATTTAGAGTTTATGGTCCTAATCATAGACATCAAGTCTACCTAAATCAAATTAAGATGAACATGAGTTTAATTTAATAAAACCGTTTTACCATTTTGAGTAAAACAGAAGCAGTTTATGTGTTGGAGCTGCAGTTCCTTCACTAATAGGTTGTTCAACTAGTGACAGAGGACATGTTTAACCTTTTCTTAAAAAGTTATACAAAATAAATCAAGCACCAAAGAAAATGTTATGTTTCCACACATCACAGGAATATATATATGAACTTTGAGTATAATTTATCAAGAAAAGAAGCCTTCGCATTCCTTTAGTAAATCCATATTATGAAACCTTATACAGCTTTGAGCAGGACAGGAGCTGAATGTGGAAGCTGCTGCTGCCTGTAACCTTATCTCCTGGATAGGTGTGTAAGATCTGCTTTGAATCTTAATCTAAGAAACTGAGCTTCAGCAGCCTTTGGACTCTTGAATAATTGAAATACGTATTTGTTACAGTCTGACATGCGGCCAGGTGTTTGTGTGGAAGCAAATAAGATTGTGTAACAAGCACAGGCGCAAAAATGTATGTGCTACAACAAGCGATCCTCGGTTTTACTGTTTTCTTTCTGATCCAAGATAAATAGGGTCACAAGACCCAGAGAGGTTAGCATGTGTGCAGAAGGCTGTGGTTTGATCAGATTATGTGTTTACTAAGACTGAGCCTTGGTTGACTCTTCAGACTGTCACCATGATACAAATTTAGAAAGATAGTGATTTTTTTAAGGAAAATGGAATGCTTTGAGTTTTCTCTCTGTTAATATTAATTAAACTTAAACTACTGATAAGTAGCAGCTTAACTTTGAACTGCTAAAATGACCCAGTTAGTCACCTGACTCATTGCACCCAAATGAAAATCCATAGAAAGAATTGAGGATCTCTGCACACAAAGGACCCCTGCAGCCTTTGAGATTTGCATCTTGTTTGGAAAATAATTCAAAATCCCTTTCAAGTAATGCATGCGGCTAGTTTCTTTATACAGAGGATAATCAAGCTTTCACCACCGCAGATGCTTCTCCACAAAATATCTAATATATTTCTTCTGTATATGTCTGTGTTTTCATGCTTATTCACAGTTTTACTTCACTTTCATACTTATAACTTCCTCTAATTTGCCTTAATTCCTTTCTATGTATGGATTAGCTGAGTTGTTGGCAACATCTGCTATAAGTTACCTTTTTAAGCTGAAAAAAAATCACATAAAGTCAGCACTTGAGAAACATCCATTTGCCCAACAAAAAAAAGTAATTATTTTCCACTGTGTAGGTCAAAATTGACTTTTATTTTGAACAGATCACAATAATGTTAAAAAGCAGTCTTCAAAAAGAGTGATGGTTTGAATCGCCTGGGCAAAACTTATAAATAATCTATATTGTCATGAAACTGTGAGGAAATTTTGTAGAGACTCCTTGCTTAGGATGCACACATAATAGAAATCCATCCATCCGTCTTCTCCTGCTTCATCCATCTGAGTCACAGTGGGGCTGGTGCCTAGCTCCAGCATGGGCAGAAAGCGGGGTATACCCTGGACAGGTCACCAGTCCATCGCAGGGCAACACTGGGACAGGCAAAGCACACACTTAAATCTAAGGACAAGAGAACCCAACTAATAATGATTTTAGGAGGAATTCAGAACCAATGCATTCACATGGCGAACATGCAAATTTCATGCAGAAAGATCCCAGAATCGAACCCAGGACTTTCTTGCTGCAAGGCAACAGTGCTACAAACTGCACCACTGTGCAGCTAATTTACTGAAATGAAAAACACTTGAAGAAAAAAAAATGCACTTTTTAGAATATATATAAAACACCCTTAGAGGAGAAAGCATAAAATGCAAAACATCTTCAGAGATAACTCAGAAGAAAAACTCTTAGAATAAATAATAGAAGTACTTGTACAGGATAGGAAACAGACTTAGAAAAGACATATGGATGACATATGGGCATATAGGGATGAAGTGTGACAGCTTGTACAAGTCCAGTCTAAATGAATAATGGTCTGTTTGATTGTTAGTGGGAGTGTTTCTTTTGTGATTGTGTTTGTCTGAGGGTGTTTGTAGGTGGGTCTGTCTCTGTTAAGATGGGGAATGTGGCTGCAGGGGGAAGGGTTTACGGTATATGTGGTACTTCTTCCAGGGGGCTTGTGTTTGATGACAGGAAAACCTGTGGCTTCATAACTTTGTGAGAGATTTTTTTTTTAAGTCTACTTGTGCTTGATTTAATTCAGCCAAAAATGCTCTGCTAAAATGCAAAATAAGCAGCAAACACAAACTGAAGGGCCAGTAAAAAACATTTGAC